AACACATTGCACTGGACCCCCCCTTCCCCTCATCTCTCTCTGTGTCCATTTTAAAGTAGCTATCTATCCATGAATGCATATGCAACACACATTTGTAAATTTAATTTCAATTACTTTGCTAACAATTTGTAAATTTGGTTTTCGTACGAGCCTACATTGCTCCGAAGGTGTGTTGAAAAAGAGAAAGAAGATGGAACTCTTGTCAAATGTCAGAACATGTCAGGCAAATTTGGAACTACAAATCCGAGAGACACAACACTCAATGTCAGTGATGCTGCGTGTTGTTTAGCAATAGCCACCTATGAAGGATATGATGATCTTTGAAGGGAATGGAACACAAGTACATCCACAAGTCCAAATTGGATTTGGACTAAAGCGGAAATTGCTGATTTTTTCTTGAGTGCTTTTGTAGTTTGTAGTACCACCCCTAGATAAAATCAACAACTTTTGCCACTATCATTAGTCTTTTTTATTTATTCAAAATCAATAAGAATAAAACTAAAACATGCTCTTAACAAAAAGAAAAAGGTATATATGTCGATGTTATGAGTTCGAGCATTTGTGTTGTGTGTTTGAATTTAGTATATTATCGCATTTCTCAATAGAAAATGTCTTTAAAAATAAAAAGATTATGCTCTTATACATTAATACCTTAAATTTTCTCTTATATCTCATCCATGTATTGTAATTTTTACATACGCATCATATGTGTGTGATACTTCTGATTATATAATGAATATTTGTAAAACATAGGATATATAAAGCGATGAATTTTGTTTGCATATCAAAATATTTTGAAGTTTCCAAGTGTACATTTTCTTTCGCTCTCAAACTTGATCTTCCTTTATGTATATTAAATTAATTTACAATATCATTTTATAATTTTTTTTTTAAAATGTAATATTTGTTACATAAAAATCTATCGGACAATTCAACAATATTATAAAATAGAAAATCTTTACGTTAGAAAATTGAAAGAAGAAAAAAGCTAAATATTTGTAACGACTGGGATTATAATTTGGGGAATACCCGCAACCTTCTCTCTAACTTTCTTTTTGGACATTCTCTCTTCTTCTCATGACAAGTGTTATTTTGCTTACACTTAAAACAATGTCATTAATGCATCACACAAATTAGTTTTTATTTTCCAAGTTTACCCTTATTAAATGTATTATTTTTTTAATAACAAGCTTGTTTTTGTACAACTTTCTTATTACCTTATTAAAAAAATAAAAAATAAAATAAAAACTGAAGTTTTTTTAAATCTTTTTTCAAAGAGGACGTATGCTTTGTTAAACCAAAAAGAAAGATGATATATGTCATGAAACAAACTTTATTATTTTAAAGAAAAATGACGTTTTTTCTTATTTAATTTTTAACAATGTGCTAAGGAAGTTATAATAAATTTTGAATAAATTGAAGGAATATAAAAGCCAATATATTTAATAAGGTAAATTTGAAAAACAAAAACAAACTTGTGTGATGCATTAATGACATTATTTTAAGTATAAGAGAAATGACACTTGTCATAAAAAGAGGGGAAAGAGTCTGAAAAAAAAAATTAGAGAAAAGATGGCTAGCATTCCTCTTATAATTTTGTACTGGCTTAACGTTGTTTTTCACGGCAACATAATTGTTTTGTAGGTAATTAGTAAATGGGTCAGACAGGGGACCAGACCACTCACATCCCAGTCGCTGTCATGTCCAAGCCAACGTCACCTTAACCAGACACAAAATAATGTAACCAAAATATTTTTCAATATCTTTCATTCTTTCTTCATCAAGATACGTGTCTTCCTTTGATTGGGTTAAACGATACCATTCTTCTACTACCCTACGTGCGGGACCACCAGAGTATCCGTGTCACCATCAACACACGTCACACACGTCGGATCAACACCCTCACACAGCAAGTAATTGACTCTCTCTCTATCTTTTAGTAGGCCCTGGTTTAGGATACCGACGTGTCAAGAAGATAAGATGATTTGAGTACGTCGTCAATATCGTCTCCCATAAAATGAAAAGTGGTAAGATTGGTTACCCTAATTAGGCCAATCCATTTTAACTCCTCACCACCAGCGTCTTCAAAACAATCATGTGGGTCGAAGCGCAAGCTTTCAAAACTAAAGCACCTTTCCAGTGTCAAAGACTCGAGCTTCGAGCAAGAAGAAAACAGACGAGGCTCTACTTCTCCAACAAACTTAACATCACACAAAACAAGGTTCGTGAGTGTGCTAAATCGATCAACAAAAATATTATCTGCCCTTAGTTTGCATGTACCTAAGGAGAGATGCCTCAGTTTTGATCCTTCGCCACTGATCGGAAGCAGACATGTGTAGGAAAGTTATAACAGTCAATTGTTGTCCAATCAGTACGCTCCGATAATTCGTCACAACTGAAGGCAAGCTCAAGGGTTTCTGCAGCCCTTGCTACAGCGAGGTTGATCCGGCCTTTGAATTAACGAGGATGCTCGTTTCCAAAGCAGCATTGAACCTTGAAGTATTCAATCTTGGTACCCGAATGTGAAGCTAAGATTGCTTCTATGCTTCTTTGGAAATATCTCACATTCCTAATGGAAACCATTCTACGAGTATATGTGTTTGCGTCATTCGAAATTATGTCACGCCAATCAAATTCCAGTCTTGACTTGTGTGCATAAATGTTCTTCCACCTTCGTGATAACTTGCTAGTGCGTATCGCATCTCTCATACTCAGCAAGTTAACAATTGTATGAAGAACATCATCAGGCAATGCACTAATGTGATCCTTGTCATTGTGGTTGGAGGTGTCAGCTGATATTCCACACACTCTTTTCATGGTTTCAATCTGATCAAGAAAATTGGAATGAAATTAGTTAAGAGTTTTGATTTTCTTATGGCACATCATATATGTTATAAGGCTAAAGTATCATTTTCACATATTCATGGTGTTATAAATCCTATATCACTGCAGAGCATCCAATTCTCACAACAAGAACAACACAAAGCCCTAGTGAATTGTCTTCTCATAGGCTTCTGCACTCACCAGTTTAGATTAGCAAAATTAGCTAGCTCCATTTCCCTTTCCCAGTAAGACCCCCTGAATGACCAACCCGCCGCCCGAGCAAGAAAAGGAGATTGAATTCATTAAGCTAAACAATTATCAACGATAAGAGTACCAACATATACATTGACAACGAAATCCTCAATCAAGAGGGAAAAACAGAAGATCAGCTACAAGAATAACATATACATTAACAAAAATCATCAATCAACCGAGAAAGGCATAGGTCACCTCAGATGATACAGAAATTAGATAAAAATAATATTCAGAGAATTAAAGTTGAGGAAAGGCGTTATACCAGCTCTGGTTTCAGAAGTGGTTAAGTTGAGACGAGAAATGATTGATGCCTAGCTAAAATGTGTTTCTTGGATGTCTCTCTCCCTTTGTTTTCTCCGACGTCTCTATCGATGTCTCCCTTTGTTTCTGTTGTTTGTATGAAACCAAGTGAAAGGGAAGAGCGGTTTACATGTAAGAGTGGACTGCAAAGCAACTCACACTGACACATTGTATGAGCCTCGTGTCAGGCTGTCAGCTCCATCTCAAATTCCCAGTGAATGCATCCACCTCAGCTATCTCATATTTTTCCCTTTCCAGATTCGTTTTAGTTGGTTCCAAATTTCCTGAATGTAACGCATTTTACTTGCCTGTATATCTGATTTTGATTAATCTTATTGAGATATATTGTTTTTTACTTGAACATTTAGTCCAATTTTTCTGGCTCACCAAAGCGGGCACATGGAACAATATTACTCTTCTGCCTTGAGCCTAGCTAGGTTATTCAGAGGGAACTTCATGGCCTAATTTAACACTAGGATAATCCTTAGATGTCAATGCAAAGTGTAACAAAAGACTGGACTTAGATGTAATCTTAATTCTTATCTATTGGCGCTTGCGCCTTCTGTATTTCTTTGCGGGGTTTTGGCTCTTCGCACACCCCCGGTGTATTATTTTTTCTCCTTTTTAGTAATAATATAAGAGGTAGGTCCCTTCTCCTTCGTGATTTTGCATTTCATGACCTTCACTGAGGAGCTAATCTTGCCTAATCCTCTATTAATAATAATAAGTAAAAAGTTAATAATGTTTGTACCATATCTGACCCTCCACTCATACAACGACACGTGGATCATCTAAACCC